TGCTGCCTCTGATGTGCTTTCTGTCTGTGTTCGAAATCTCTCTATCTCCATGAGCTGCTGCTGCTGCTGCGCTGCCGCTGTCTCCTCGTTGCATGCGCTCTTCGGGTGTACGTACACCGCAAATATGCGGGAGAGGTAGAGGCTCTCGTTCGGCTTGCTTTGGCTGCCTGCTGCAGCGACAAAAACCCTTTGCTGCTCAGGTACGAACACGTCCTGCTGCTGCTGCTGCTGCTGCTGCTGCTGCTGCTGCTGCTGGTCATGGTGATGGTGATGGTGATGGTGTTTGGTTTGCGGCGTCTGGTGCGGTTGATGTTGCTGCTGCTCGGCAGCTGCTGCTGCAGCTACTGCTGCAGCTACTGCTGCAGCTGCTGCTGCAGCTGCTGCTGCTGCAGCCAAGGGTCCTGAGAGGGGTTGCACAGACATGAAGGGGTTTAAGGTTTTGCTGTTGCTGCTGCTGTTGCTGTTGCTGCTGCTGCTGCTGTTGCTGCTGCAGGCTGTGCGGGTGCGTGGCATTCGAGGCGTTTATCTGCTGCAGCAAGGATGAGGGTTTTGTGAGCAGCAGCTGCTGCTGCTTTTTGCTGTCTCTTTCTCGTTTGCTGCGGTGCTGGAGCGGGGACTCTAGCTGCCTCGTGCTGCTGCTGCTGGTGCTGCAGCGTGTGCTGCTGCTGACGCCTGCTGCAGTGCTGCAGCGGCTGTGTATAGAGGGGTCTCTGGAGGAGCTGCTGCTGCTGCTGCTGCGAGCAGCAGCAAAACGCCCGCCCATTAATTTATTCGTTCAGGCTGTCATCCGTCTCCTTGCTGTTGTCTGCCAAAGACACAGGTACGTCTGCTGCTGCTGCTGCTGCTGCTGCTGCTGCTGCTGCTGGTGATAGTGGCGTAGGTGTTTCTAGGAGGAAGGATATGGGGCTCTCTGCTGCTGCTTCTGATGCCGCTGCTGCTGCTGCTGCTGTTGCTGCTGTGGAATGTTCCTTCATCAATATCTGTTCTGTTGCTTCGTCTGCTGCTGCTGTTGCTGCTGCTGCTGCTGCTGCTGTTTTTAGTGTGCAGCTGTTCCGCGCGTTGCTGCCGCCGCTTGCGCAGCGACTGCAGCGATGTGCTGCAGCGGACAGGAAGCGTGGCGCGATGCTGCAGCGTCAAAGAGCAGCAGCAGCAGCAGCAGCAGCAGGATCCTCATCATCATCCTCAGCAGCAGCAGCAGCAGCAGCAGCAGCAGAGGGTACTGTGAGCCCGGCGGGGAGGCCTGCTGCTTCTGCTTCTCCCTCCCCTGTTGTCTCTCCGTATGAAGTCTGCACCTGCATAGAGGCCCTCTCCAGCTGTCTCCTCGCAGCCTTTATGCAGCAGCAGCAGCAGCAGCAGCAGCAGCAGCAGCAGCAGCAGCAGCGGCGGCGGAGGCAGCTGCAGGCTCCAGAAGTCTCTCTAGACAGGGAGAAGCCGCACGGAGCAGCAGGAACAGCAGCAGCAGCAGCAGCTGCTGCTGCAGCAGCAGCAGCAGCAGATCGGGAGACAACGGTGTTCCTCAGCAGCAGCAGCACATTTGCTGCTGTGCTGCAGCTGCTGCTGTCGGCGCTGCTGCGAACGGATGATGAGGCGCTGCTGCAGGAGGGTATTTGTTGTGTGGCTCTTGCTGTTGCATGCGCTCCCGAGGTGGTAGACCAGCAGCAGCAACAGCAG